CCCCCCCCCCCCCCCCCGGGTCTCACTCTCTCTGTTTACAAATTGAATACAGTGTAATGACAGAGCTTGAGAGAAGAAACATATTTCGGTTTGATGTTAGTCAAAGGCCTCAGCAGGTGACCTTGAAACTTAGAGCTGAAGGAACAGCAGGAGGTAACATATAGAGGCCAGGGAAGAGCATTCTAGGCACAGGGAATAACGTGTTCAGAGGCTGGGAGGTAAGAGTTTGGTGCCCTCCAAGAAAGAAAAGAAGCCCACTGTGACTCGGGCTTAGAGAGGTAGACAAGGATCAGATGATTCAGAGCTTTGTAGGTCACGGTTAGGTGTTATTCCAAGTGCAGAAACAATATTACTTTTAAAATTTTAAAGAGGGGTGATTTGATCTCTTTTTATGTTTTAAAAAGATCATTCTAGATGCTTTTTGGAAACTGGATGTGGCAAGAATAGAAACTGGAGATGGTCTTATTTAGGGATCCCATCCAGTCTCTGAATACCATTTTTAAATACCACCTATCTGCTGATGACTCCCAAATTTACATCTCCAGCTTGGATTCTCTGCCCTGAATTCAGACTGTGTATCCAACCGTTGGTCCACTTTATACCTCTACCTAATAGATGTCTAATAGATAAATCTTTAGCCTACTGTATCTAAAATTTCCCCTTAGATTTAGTCCTCCTAAACCTGTACATCACTTTTTCTCATCTTAACAAATTACATTTCTGGCCTTTTAATTGCTCAGGCTAAAACTTTAATACCTTCCTGAACCTCTTTCTCTCCTACTGTATATCTGATCTGTTAGGTCTACCCCAGAATATACCCAAATCCAACCATTTCTCTCCATCCCTGACCATTAACACCCTGGTCTAGGGAGTCATCTCTATTTAGGTTGGGTGCTTAAGGAAGTCCTCTGAGGGATGTCATTCAGATCTCAGCTTAAATGTCAAGAGGAAGCCGGTTTTGTGAAGATCAAGGAAGCAGGATTATTTTGCCATAGGCTTCAATTTGGTTTCCCTTCTTCCATTCTTTTTTTTTTTTTTTTTTTTTTTTTTTTTTGCGATATGTGGGCCTCTCACTGTCGTGGCCTTTCCCGTTGCCGGACACGCAAGCTCAGCGGCCACGGCTCACAGGCCCAGCCGCTACGCGGCTCACGGGCCCAGCCGCTACGCGGCATGTGGGATCCTCCCAGACCAGGGCACGAACCCGTATCCCCTGCATCGGCAGGCGGACTCTCAACCACTGCGCCACCAGGGAGGCCCCCTTCTTCCATTCTTGATACCTCTGGTGTATTTTCGAAATGCATTTTGCCACACCTCTGTTCAGATTCCCTCAGTGGCTTTCTGTACAGGGCCCTCCATGATCTAGGTCCCATTTATTCTCTGTGTTCATCTCTGCTTTCTTTCTCCATCATTCTTCCATTTATACTGGCCTCCTTGTTGTTAAGCACATTCCCACCTCAGGGCCTTTGCACTTATTCTCTCTGCCTGGAAACCTCTTCCCACAGATATGTGCCTATTTTGTCCCCCATCTTCTTCAGGTTTTTGATTAATTGACATCTTAGTGAAGCTTTCTCTGACCAGCTTGCTTAAGATTGTAGTCCCCAGGCCCTGCACTCCCATCCCGTCACCCTACTTTATTTTTTCTGTAGCATTTGTCACCATCTGCTGTACTATGTGTCTTATTAGGATGGAAGATGATTTCTGTTCATGGCTGTATCTCCATGTCTAGATTAGTGCCTGGGATATAGTTAGAAAGTTAGTAAATATTTGTTGAATAATTAAAGTAGGAAGTAATAAGTGCTGTGCAGGGAATTTAAACAGTGATGTGGGAGCAGATCACCAGATGACAATTTGTGTTTGGATAGTGAGGGAAGGCTTGTCTGAGCAGTTGGTATTTAAATTGAGGTCTCAATGAGGAAGGAGAGCCAGCCTTGCAAAGGTAAAAGGAACTGCTTTCTGGCTGGAAAGAACTGGTAATACAAACATCCTGAGGCAGGAAAGAGCAGGGTTTGTTCAAGGACAGAAAGAAGGCTGAAATGTGCTGGGAGTGGAGGGCAATGGGGCATGTTTTAGAGATAGAGGTAGCATGACTTGAGTAAATGATTGGAGTGAAGGAAAACTGGGAAAGCTTTGGAAAGCTTAGAGCTTGAGGTAGGAGGAGTCCAGAGCTCTCTTCCGGCAGTTGTGAGTTTGCAGAAACTCTTGGACGTCCGTGTGGATATGTCAAGGAGGCAGTTGGATGTACAGGTCTGTAGTTCTGGGAGGGCATCAGAATTTGAGTGCTGAATCTGGACTTAGAAGTATTTTGCATAAATGATGGTTAAAGACACAGGCCTAAATGAGCTCATCTGTGGAGTACATATGGGATATGAATTAGTTGTGTTGAAAGGCTAAAGTACCGTAACAAAGAGACACTAAGTACAATGGCTCAAACAAGGTAGGCCTTTATTTCTATCTTGTGTAACTGTCCAAGTCCCTGGTCATCAGGTGGCTTTGCTTCACGATCATTCAGGCATCATTTTCCTCCCATTGTGTTATTCCTCTTCCTCTTAGGGTATAGTCTGTGTGATCAAAGCCAGATCTTAGTCCCTTCTGTCAGCTTTCTGACTCCTGATAAGGAGAAAGAGAAGCTTTGGCCAGAAATGGCACATACCTCTTCTGTTCACACTTCATTGCTGAGGACCGAGTCATATGGTCACAGTTAATTAACTCAGGGGCTTCTGGGAAATGGAGAGAAGCTAGCCAGTTGTGTGCCAGGATACAACCCTCTTACTAGGAAGGCCAGGTAGAACCCTCTGCAACCCTCTACAGTGGCCAGGTAGAATCTCCTGCCATGCTGTAGACAAGGAGAGAGCTCCGGGGTTAATCCAGCTTTTAGAAGTTGAGGAACATGAGTCATTGGCAAAGGAGAATCAACAAGAAAACGCCAGTGATATAGGAGTACAATATCATGGAAGCTAAGAGAAGATAGTATTTCAAAAAGGAGGGGTAAATGGGGAAGGGGCTGGAAGGGGCCATTGGGGTAAGGGTGGGGGGGGGTTGTTGTTTTTAAGATAAAAGATGCTAAGCACGTTTGTTCTAGGAAAGATTCGGTAGAGAGGGAGAAAATGATACCGAAGAGAGGTTACTTGCAAGAGTGAAGTTCTTGAGAAGACCTTAGGAGTTGGGATTAAAGCCTGGCTGTATCAAGATTTGATTAGGATACACTGCAGCTGGAGATGGCAGTTGATACAACCACTTGTTTAAAAACCTTCAAACAATGCTATAACTTGTTTATGAATACATAAATATATTAAAGAGTAAAAATGATGGAAACCATAAACATTCAATTTCTGAAATTTTTTTCTCTAGGAAGAGGGGGAATGAGTTGAGGGAGGGACTTTAGTTGTAACTGCAGTGTTTTGTTTCTTTTAAAAATTCTTCTGAAGCAAATATGGCATAATGTTAAGATTTGCTAAACCTGAGTGTTCCTCATATTAAGGTCTAGTCTTGCCTTTGTTTTAAATGTTTCATAATAATAAGAAATTATTATTTCTTATAGAAGAAATAGTAGTGCAAAATAAGATGACAGAAATAAACCACTTTAAATATAAATAGAATAAAATCTCTATGGCTAAAAAATCTAACAAAAGTCCGTATAAAGATGGACTAAAAGATAAAGACTCAAGTTGGGTAATAAGCCAAAATGCACCTATTTACCAGAGACACAACCAAAACATAAGGACGTAGAGAAATTGAAAATAAATGGATGCAAAGATATATCAGGCAAATGTTAACTAGAAGAAAGTTTGTGTGGTAGATGAAATACTTTAAAGCATAAAATACCATTAGGGCTAAGAAGGCCTGTAAATTATGATGAAGCGAAAAGGGTGCTAGGAAGATAAAATTTTGAACTTGTTTGTACCAAAATCAGTTTCAAAAGGTATAAAACAAAATGTACAGAATTACCAGGAGAAGTCAACAAATTCGTCGTCATAGTTAGAGTTTTAAGAATGTTCTTTTTAGAAATAAAGAGCAGTAATCACAATAAAAAGAAACGGGTTAACCCAGACAATAAAAAGATGGTGATCTTCACATTGGTTTCCTGTACTGTTTAAATGTTAAAAAGGTCATGGGAAAGTTAAAAGTAAAAGGATGGAGAAACATATCAGGGATATACAAACAGAAGGAAAGCTAGCATAGTCTTCACAGCAGCACACACATGAAAAAAAGATGGAAAAGTTAAGTTTTGTGAGGGAAAGGGAACAAGAGTCATTATTCACAGATAATATGATTGCATACATAGAATATTCAAGAAAATCTAGGCTTCCTTGGTGGCACAGTGGTTATGAACCCGCCTGCCAGTACAGGGGACACGGGTTCGAGCCCTGGTTCAGGAAGATCCCACATGCCGCGGAGCAACTAAGCCCATGCGCCACAACTACTGAGCCTGCGCTCTGGAGCCCATGAACCACAACTACTGAGCCCACGTGCCACAACTACTGAAGCCTGCGCTCCTAGAGCCCGTGCTCTGCAACAAGAGAAGCCGCCGTAATGAGAAGCCCAGGCACCACAACGAAGAGTAGCCCCCACTTGCCGCAACTAGAGAAAGCCTGCGCGCAGCAACAAAGACCCGACGCAGCCAAAAAATAATTAATTTTTTTATAAAAAAGAAAAAACATAAGAAAAGTAAAGTGGGCTGTGTCAGATCCCATAAGTTTCTCACTTGGCTTGAGCTGCCAGGCCCCTTCCTTCCTGCATGTGATCTTGCTAGTGTGTCTGCATTAGAATTTCCAGTGTTTTGTGTAATAGAGGAGACAAGGTATAATTTTTAAAAATTTTATTTATTTTATTTATTTTTGGCTGCGTTGGGTCTTCCGTGCTGCATGCGTGCTTTCTCTAGTTGCGGAGAGTGGGGGCTACTCTTCGTTGCAGTGCGTGGGCTTCTCATCGCAGTGGCTTCTCTTGTTGCGGAGCACGGGCTCTAGGCACGCGGGCATCCGTAGTTGTGGCTCGCGGGCTCTAGAGCGCAGGCTCAGTAGTTGTGGCACACGGGCTTCGTTGCTCCGCGGCACGTGGGAACTTCTCAGACCAGGGCTTGAACCCTTGTCCCCTGCATTGACAAGCAGATTCTTAACCACTGCGCCACCAGGGAAGCCCAAAATGGTCTAATTTTTTAAGAGACATTTGTTAAAGCTTGAGTAGTAGAAGTTTTAGAATGTTTGTAAGTTTAGAATATTTGTATTTGATGCTGTGGCAGGGATACACAGGAAGTCAGAGATGTTACACAGCCAGAGAACTCGGTCTTTTTCTTCAGGTTGCATCTAGTAGTGAGTGGCACATGGTAATAATGTTAACTAGCGTCTTAAGTTTACTGTGTCCTAGCTCCTCTTGTAAGCCCTTTACAAGTACTTACGTTTTCATCCACAGCCGTATTAGGTAGTCTCCACTGTGGCTGATGGAGAACCACACTGGGCAAGGACATGTCCGGTTTTGGTATGCTGGCTGGGAGGTGCTCTTGAGATGTCCATTTACACACATTACCTTAACCACACAGTAATTCTACAGTCTGAGTTTTTAACCAGAGGTAAAAGAGTGATTTTTTTTTAGGGTCTAGCAGACCAGGGTTGAAATCCTGCCTGTTGAAATGACTCTTTACTAACTCATAACAGTGACCTAGTTTTGTAAATGAAGGAAGTTGAGACACAGAGAATTAAAGTAACTTGTCTAGCATCACATGGCTATTGAATGGCAGAGCCCAGATTTGAACCCAGGTGTTCTGACCTTGTCTCTCCTTAAGCTCTGAGCGTACTTGACCAAATGCTGTTCAAAGATCACCTCCTGAGAGAAACTTCCCCTGACAACCGCCCTGCCCCGCTCCAGGGCAGCTCGCCCAATGTTGCGGAACTTTGAACACACTCACCTGTCAGAATAGAGCTGGTGTGATTTTTACAAGGTCTGGAAGAGGGTTTCTGGCTGTAGAAGTTGGTCATGGTGCTCTCTTCTCTTCCAGTGAAAGGCAAAGAGCAAGAGAAGACCTCAGATGTCAAGTCAGTTAAAGGTGAGTCAGCAAGTTGCAGTGATGAACTCTTTCATCCTGTTACATTCTCCCTTCTTTTGCCATTAATCGTCTCTGCCTTCTTTTATAATTACTTATGACTGTGACATATTTCCCTGTTAACTTACATACTCTTCAACACCCACCATATAATAGACTTTTACTAAGCATTTATTGGTTGTCCTAGTGACTGCAGTGAACCAGTGTCATCCTTACTAATCACACATTTGATTATTCCCCAAAAGCAATTAGTTGACTGTATTTAAAAAAAAAAAAGCAAAAAATACTCTTTACTGAGTAGTCTGACCACTGACTTATGAAGCCTGGTTTTCTGTGGTTTATCTGGAAGTATGGATGCTTACAGTTTTCACTTCCTTATTTCTTTGGATGAATGGCCTTAACCTAAAATTTATTTGGAGTCCTTCATGGGAATCAGTATATTGTCCTTATTTATAGGCAAGAGCATGTTTTTTTAAGATTGTAATCTCTGCTGTAGTTTTAACTGATTTCATTATGTCAGTATACAAAAATCGAAAAGGGAAAATTATAGTGAAAATTACTTTCATGACCATTACGTACAAATTTCATAGATGTAATTTATTTACGTGAATTCTAAAGATTGCCACTTATTTAGATTTTTCTCTTAAATGTTTGTATGTTGTGTGGCTAGCATTGAGTAGTAACTCCATATGCTCCAGAGGGACACTAATTAATAACTTAGAGGTCTGTAAGATTAAGGAAGAAGTAAGGTAGCTTACAGCCTTATTTTCTGCTTATTTCTGATAATTTAAAGCCAGTTGGTTCATATTGCCTTTTTTAAGGAGAATTTGATTGATATTGGTAAAGACTTCAAGCATTCAGCAAGCAGAGGCTTGTGAAGTCGAGCCTTGATTGCAGTAGCAGGAGGGACTTTGATGTCCGAGGCACACCAGCCTCCGACAGTGTGACCTGGGGGAACTTTCCTCATTTGTACAACGAGGGGATTGGCCTACCTAACTCCTCAATCTGTCCCAGGCTAAAACACTCCATGCTGGTACTCTATTTATGACAGTACATAGTCTGTGCTCACATTCACTGCCTTAACTTTATTATTATTTTTGTTTATTTATTATTTTTTTTGCGGTACGCGGGCCTCTCACTGCTGTGGCCTCTCCCTTTGTGGAGCACAGGCTCCGGATGCGCAGGCTCAGCGGCCATGGCTCACGGGCCCAGCCACTCTGCGGCATGTGGGATCTTCCCGGACTGGGGCACGAACCCATGTCCCCTGCATAGGCAGGCGGACTCTCAACCACCGCGCCACCAGGGAAGCCCCACTGCCTTAACTTTAGAATAACACAGACGCAGCAGGGAAACAGGCCCTCAAGAAGTTTGCAGTCTGATTAGAAGGACAGACTCAGACCCAGAACAGTAGCAAATAAACCAAAATCATAATAACTATGGTTTATTGAGCACCTGTTCTGTTCTAGGTGTTAGACAAAAATTGTGGCTGTAACAGTGAACAAAAAAGACTTGGATCCAGATCCTGCCCTTGTTGAACTTACAAATTGGTGGTAGGAAGAGGAGCATGAACAGATGATGCACAGATGGCTTGGGCTCGATCAGCAGTGGTGGAGATAAAGAGACCTGGACAGAGCCGTGTGGGAGGTGGAATAGGTAGAGCTTTGTTCTCGATTAGGTATGAGGGCGAGGAAGCTAAGGCTGGCACCCAGCTTTCTGGCAGGCCTAACACTGTGGCTGGTGGAGAACCACACTGGGCCAGTACCTGTTCCTTTTTGCTATGGTGGCTGGGAGGTGCTCTTGAGATGTCCATTTACACACGTTATCTTAACCACAATAATTCTACAGTCCGAGTAACCAGATGAAAGAGTGATTTTCTGTAGTCTAGCAGACCGAGGTTGAAATCCTGCCAGTTGAAATGCCTCTTTACTACCTCATTGACTTAGGGCAAAGCACTTAACTTTGTTCTGTTTGTGTATTCATCTCCAAAATGAGGAAAATACTGGTCTTGCAGCATTGTTGTGAGAGATAAATGAAATAATGTACCCCCAAAAAAAGTACATCAAGAAACAAGTACAGGGCTTCCCTGGTGGCGCAGTGGTTACGAACCCACCTGCCAATGCAGAGGACATGGGTTCGAGCCCTGGTCCGGGAAGATCCCATGTGCCGCGGAGCATCTAAGCCCGTGCGCCACAACTACTGAGCCTGTGCTCTAGAGCCCGCGAGCCACAACTGCCAAGCCCGTGTGCTGCAACTGCTGAAGCCCGCACGCCTAGAGCCTGTGCTCCGCAACAAGAGAAGCCACCACAATTAGAAGCTTGCCTACTGCAACAAGAATAGCCCCCCTCTCCGCAACTAGAGGAAGCCCATGTGCAGCAACGAAGACCCAACGCAGCCAAAAATAAATAAATTTATTAAAAAAAGAAAGAAAAGAAACCAGTACAGTGCCTTGTACATAGTAGGTTTTATATTGGTAGCTATTACCATCTAGTTTTAACAGAGTAGGCCCTTGATATGTTGGATTAGTTGTTAGTTATTAGTATTACAGGGAGTTCAGAGGAACTTGAGGTCAGCAGATAGTTTCTGGAGCATAGGGAAGCCTTTATAGAAATGAGACTTAATGTGTATGAAATTTGAATGATAAGAAGGATTTGAATGAAAGAGTCGATTCTTCTTTTTTCCCTTACCAGCCCAGCTTCTTATTTCTTTGAGTATATACTGGGCAGAAGGACCTTCAGACTACTAAAAGGAAATTTTTAAGATAGATTGAGGTCAGATTGTAGAGGGTCTTAAAGACCAGAAAAGAGTTGAGACAGAGAAAACAGGGAACCGCTATGGGCTTTTGAGCAGGATGTTGATGCTTTACATATGGCATTTATAGAGGTTAGTCTGAAAGAGTCATGTAGGATGGAGACCCTAGAAGTGCTTTGCTGTGATACAAGAAGGCCTGTACTAAGGGTGTGGTGTTGAAAATAAACAGGTCAGTATCTTGATGGAAAAGTCAACAGATCTTGACAAGTAAACAGGTATAGTGAGAAGAGTGGGTCCAAGCTCTTGAGCTTTAGGGACTGGTGGATTGACAGAGATAGGGAAATTAGAGGAGGATTAGTCTGGAAGAAGATGTTTTAAGTTTGACGTTTGGAAAAATTGGTCTTGAGATGGTAAAGATGATAAATGAGAGGTTGGTTAGTAGCAAATAATTAGAGCCACAGGCTGGAAGCTGAGCTCAGAGGTCAGCCTGAGATCGGGTCAGGGTCCCCTCTGCCTCCAGCTCTGCAGGGGTGAGCCCTTGGAGCTGGCGCTGGGAGGGCCCGAATCAAGCGCATGTGTGAGACTTTCCCCTTGAATCAGCCAGAGTTACAGTTAACTCTGTTTTGTTTATTTTAGATAACAATTTAGATTTTAGATATCTGTTTTAGCTAAAGTTTTATCTATTTTACAGACATATCAAGGTCCCACTTCAGTTTATTTGGGTGGGGGGAGCTTACAGCTAAAAAAAAAAAGATTGCTCTAGTAATAACTGAAGGTTTGAGAATAAATGTGCCTTCCAGCAGAAGGAGTAAAAGAAGAACAGAGAACCTTGGGAAGCAGAGGAGTGGTGGATGCCATGTCTGGCCCCGCGGGCGCTGACATGTGCACTGAAGAGAAGGAGAGGGAGGAGCTCTTGGGAGAGGAGAAGGGGGAAGAGTGCGGGACCACGAGGCCTGGGCGAGGGATGCCAGGAGGGCGAGTGAGAGAGAGGTGGCTCTAACAGAAGCCGAGAAAGAGAGAAGGCTTGCACGCATGAGTTAGCATTATTTCACATCATCATACACGTCTAATTAGGAAACAATCAGAAAGTCTCACTGTTCTTGATGCAGGGTATTTGTAGCCTGTCTATACAAAACACTAGATATTATTGTTTATAAACCTACCAAAATGATTCTGCTCCCTTCAATTTATCATAAAAATAAAAACAAAAAACAACTTCCTTCTAAAATTGAAAAAATCATTTGAAGACAACTCCATTGCATAATTCTCCCAGCTCTTATTGAATGACTGATAAATACATATGCCTAAGATGAACATTCTCATCTGCTTTATCCTGTAAACACATCTCACAGTAATAGATTGAATTACAGTACTGTGTATTCTTCATAGGAGGTATTACGTGGTGTCACTCAGATTCTGTGTCCGGGAACCATTTGCTAAGATTGAGAGCACTTATCTGTTGACCAATTTATCATAAATTGACCGCTCAATAAAACAAGTGGTACTAGTAGACAGAAGTTTAGTCATCTGAGAGTATTTATATTGAGGGTGTGGAATGCCCAGTGACCTGTATGTTTCTAGCCTTCTTGCTATAGCAATGTACAAAACCAAAACTTCTTAAAAACCTTTCATGAGAGTCTTTGATATTTGTGTGGAATAAATGGGATAGGTGGAATGTTAATTCAGCTGTAGCAACAAGTTCATAGGGTTACTTTGACCATATTATAGTATGGAGTTGATGATTTCCTACTAGCACATTGGTGACTAACCTCTTTATTCTGAAGTCAAAAGGATGATATTAATATTTCTTCAGACTACTAAAGAAAATATATTATGTGAATTTGTAAGTATGCTTCATCTTTAGGCAGCTTGAACTTTGATCAGTTTTTATTAGACAGTGGAATTTTGTTACTCAATTAAAAAGTGAAATAAGTATCCTGAAGAGTATTTTTCTAATTTTTTCCCGTAAGCTTTTATTTTGGAATTTTAATTTTGTTCCTTCAGCAAGCAAGTATTAAGGAATTGAAAAGGGTCCATGTTTCAGAATGTTTGCTGCCTTTGGAACTTTCTGTCTTCAGTAGAGTTCTCAAAGAGAACTCAAAGAAAGATCTCTCTTTTGTTTTTTTTTGTTTTGTTTTGTTTTTTTTTTTTGCGGTACGCGGACCTCTCACTGTTGTGGCCTCTCCCGTTGCGGAGCACAGGCTCTGGCCGCGCAGGCTCAGCGGCCATGGCTCACGGGCCCAGCCGCTCCACGGCATGTGGGATCTTCCCGGACCGGGGCACAAACCTGCGTCCCCTGCATCGGCAGGCGGACTCTCAACCACTGCGCCAGCAGGGAAGCCCGATCTCTCTTTTAAGTTACATTTTTGGCACAGTATTTTGAGGATTACAAATAATAGTAGGACATTTCTTTCCAATTTTCTGCTGCTTGGTTAATTTACCATTTCCCCAAGTATTTTTGTTGAGTGTATGTACTTAAGAGAGGTGTTACAAAATCTAATTTTTCAAGTTCCCTTAAAGCCCTCTTAGGAGACAGTTTTAGACTATCAAATTGTGTTTAATTTTTAACAATTTTTTGAAAAATTATAGCTTCAATATCCGTACATTCCCCACAAAAAAGCACTAAAAATCATGCCTTGCTGGAGGCTGCAGGACCAAGTCACGTTGCAATCAATGCCATTTCTGCCAACATGGACTCCTTTTCAAGTAGTAGGACAGCAACACTTAAGAAGCAGCCCAGCCACATGGAGGCCGCTCATTTTGGTGACCTGGGTAAGTGACTTTGAGTTTTTGTTAACTTCCTAGGAGGAGGGAATGAGTATAATATGTGAAATTCCTGCCAAAGGATACCGAACTGTGTAATTGGATGGGACTTTGAAAAAAATGTTTTAACTGAAATAACAGCTACAAGTGTAATTAATGGATGACTCCATGTTGTGTTTCTATAAATATAAAAAGCAGGCCCAGTAGAAAAATGGGCCACTTCCAGAAAAAGAAATACATTTGGCCACTAAATATATGAAAAGGATGCCTCACTGCAGTAATACTAGTGAAATGCAAATTAAAATAATGAGTTAATGTCCCCCCTAACACACTGGCAAATATTTAAAGTTTGGTAATTGGGATGTTAATGTAGATGCAGAGAAATAGCCACTCCTGTGTAGCGGAAGTATAAATTGGTAAAGATTTTTTGGAAGGCAGTTTGCAAGTATTTATCAAAAGATAAAGTATAAGATGTAGCCCTCAGATATGCTCCCATATGTGCACAAAAATGTATGTACAAGTATGTATGAGGCTATTCATTGCAGTAATGTTTATGATAGCAAAAAATTAGGAACAACATACAAATATCCATTAATAGAGAAGTAATCCAATTGTGATATACCTATACTCTGGAATACTGTGTAGCTATATATGAAAGCCTTCAGAAGACATTGAGAAATGTCTAAGATATGTTAAAGTGAAAAAAGGTGGTCACATAGTGGTATGTATAGTAGGATCTCTGTTATGTTAAAATAATTCCTCCCTCTCCCCACAAAAAAAGAAAAGACGTGCAGGAGATCCTTGTTTTCTGAATATTTGTTGTCCAAATTTCTGTACTTAAAAAAATTGTATGTCAATTTATCATAAATTGAAAAAAATCTGTGAATGGATTGACTTTACTAAAATTAGTCCCTCTTTTAATACCTCTCTCTGCTTAACATTTGTGTGTATTCAGAGCTGAGGTGTCAGAGTCTTTGTGGGTCACCCTCAGCAGCGCACTGCAAATGACATTTGTGTTGGTCACAAAGTAAAATTGTAAGTCACTGGATTACTCGTATGTCTGGTGGGAATGTAAAATGGTAGAGCTACTCTGGAAAACAGTTTGGCAGTTTCTTATAAAGCTAATCATGCAGTTACCATATGACCCAGCCATTGCAGTTTTAGGCATTTATCCCAGAGAAATGGAAACTTATGTCCACGAAAAACCTGTACACCAGTGTTCATAGCAGCTTAAAAGCCAAAAACTGGATGTCCTTCAACAGGTGAATGGTAAACAAACCGGTGCATTCATACCACAGAACACTACTCAGCAGTAAAAAAAAAAAAAAAAAAAAAAAAACAAGCTCTTGATACACATGACAGCTTGGGCGAATCTCAAGGGGATTATGCTGCGAGAGAGATGTTTCTCCATGCTGGGGATGGCGGAGAGGTAGAATGGGAGACAGAAGAGCGCTTGCTGTCGCCTGGGGTGGAGGAGGCAGCTGTGAGAGGCCGCATGAGGCACCTTTGTGTCACGGGGCTGTTCCGTGTCTTGGTGGTGTTTACACGAATCTACACATGGGACAGAATTGCATAGGACTCAATACACAAGTGAGTGCTGGTAAAATGGGGGAACTCTGAATACGGTTGATGGATTGTGTCAGCGTCAGTATCTTGGTGTGATATTGAGGTGCAGTTTGAAAGGTGCTGCCATAGGGGAAGCTGGGTAGAGGGTGCACAGGTTCTCTCTGTGTTGCTTCTACCTGCACATGAATCTGCCAGTATCTCAGAATTAGAAGTTTGATTTAAAAAAGTGCTTAAAGTCTTACAATGGATCGGGACTTCCTGAAGTTCATGAAAAGAGATGTTGGCAGAGATGGACCAGTTAACATTGACAGTAGGATAGTTAGCAAGGATGATGATACACGAAGTGCTTCAGAAGAAACATCAAAGGGTTAAGGAGAGCCCTTTTGAAAAGCTGATGAAGCCCTCAGTGAAGTTTATGAACATGAGCCTCTTTGTGTCATGCTGTGAAAGTTAAAGTTTTTTTATTTTTTTCTTTATTCTGATAATTAGCTTGTGGTTATAATCATAACCTAAATTTAGTTAACTATAAAATAAACTTCTATTAAGTTTTATTAAGTTTGGTTTTATTTTTCAAGATAAAATCGCAGAGCTAGCTCTTTATTTTGTTATAAATAATGCTAAGAGTTCATAACATCTTTCTAGCTATATCCACACATCCACAATTTTTCCTCAGGATAAGTTCCTAGAAATGGAGTTACTGGATCGAAAATCCAAAGAGGTCTTGCCATTTTACATTCTCATCATCCGTTTTGCTGTGCCCTGGTTAGTGCTTGTTATTTTTTTTTAAAAAAAACATCTTTCAGTTTGACAGGCAAAAATGTTATCTTCTATTAATTTGCTTTTCTGAGATTTTTAATGAGGTTGAGTTGTTTAAATATTTCTATTGTACGTTTTGGCGGTTGTTGTCTGTTACTGAACTGCTAACTGTTCTGCTTCTTTTAGGCAGATCTTGTCTGGACTACCAGACTCAAGAGACCAAATCAAGTCTTTCAAAGACCCTTGAACAAGTCTTGCATGACGCTGTTGTCCTCCCTTATTTCATTCAATTCATGGAACTTCGGAGAATGGAGCATTTGGTTAAGTTTTGGTTAGAGGCTGAAAGTTTTCACTCTACAACTTGGTCCCGAATAAGAGCACACAGTCTGAACACGGTGAAGCAGAGCTCACTGGCTGAACCTGTCTCTCCTTCTAAAAAGCACGAAACGACAGCAGCTTTTGTAACCGGCTCTCTTGACAAGAGATTGGAGGATTCTAGCCCAGCCCAGTTGGAAGGAGTTGACCTGAATAGCAGAACTAGCAGCGCTCAGGATCGCTGGCTGCTTCCCCGGGAGTGTGACGGCGCCCGTCCTCTCCACCTGGAAGCGGCCAGAGCGGGGGCTCGTCGAGGTTCCGTGGAGACCCAGGAGTCCTCCAGACTTACAGTAGCCAGTAGAGATAGCCCCTCTTCTCCGCTAAAGGGATTATCAGGAAAATTGATGAAAAGTAAGTGTGTGATTTTTGCCTCTCTTTACCCTGTTTTGTTGTGTATTTTTAAAAAAATTTTTGAATCTGTTTACAAAGTGAAACTTGAGATGGGGAATAAAAGGGTTGGAACAGTTTTCTCCCACACTCACTTGCAGATTTGGGAGTATTTGGGTAGTGCCCTGGAGTAGGGTCAGTGTACGAAAAAGGAACAGAAGGGCTGTCTACAGTGATTGGATCCTCTAAGAAAGACGTTGGCAGAATTAACAAATGAGGGAGCGTCAGGGGTCATGCTGCTTTTTCCCTTCCACAGATTTTGAAATCAGATCCTTACCCAGATAGGCTGATTTCAGCCCTGCGTCAGTCTTACTTTTGTTACTATTTTACTGTAGTTTGCAGATAAAATTATTTTTTAATTGCCAGCAGGTGACATTAATTGAGTTCTGTGCTAGGGGTGTACGTGGATTTCATGGAATAATCACAGCATCCCTGTGAGGTAGGCAGTTACCCCGTTTTACATGTGAGAAAGCCATGGTTTAGGAAGGTGCAGGAGACTTCCGGGGTTACCCAGCAGGTGGGAGCTGGGATTAAAGCCCTGGCATCTCAACAACAGCACCTCTTTCTCTTTTCTGTTAGTTTGGAAATTACAGGCTCTTCACTTTTCAATTATCACCTCCTGGAATTCTGATTAGACAGCTTCCAATCCATGCTTGTCCTCTTCTCTTTTTTCTCAGAGGTCTAGATGATTTCTTCTCTGGATTTTCCTTGTGTGTTTTTTTCTTTTCTCTTCTCTACGAAGACTTTATGAGGGCAGTTTTAAGGTCCACAGCGTAATTGAGGGGAAGGTACAGAAATTTCCTGTATGCCCTTCTGCCCCTGCACTTGCGTCGCCTCCCCCACTGTGAATATCCCCCACCAGAGTGGAGCACTTGTTGGCATCAGTGAACCTGCCTGGGCACGTCGTAATTACCCAAAGTCCGTAGTTTACTTTAGGGTTCACTCCTGGTATTGTATGTTCTCTGGGTTTGGGCAAATGTATAACGACATGTAACTGTCATTATGCTGTCATACAGAACATTTTCACTGCCCTAAAAATCCTCTGTGCTCTACCTGTTCATCTCTGTATACCTGCTCATTTGCCCCTGGCAACCACTGATCTTTTTCCTGTGTCTCCACAGTTTTGCGTTTTCCAGAATGTCATGTAGTTAGAATCATACATAGTAGCCTTTTCAGATTGGTGGTGACTTCTTCAGATCTTTTAGTTCATTGATTCTCTCTTAAGATGGGTCTACTCTGCTATTGAGTCAGTCTTTAACATGTTATTTTAATCTAAAAAGTTAGTGAATTTTTCATTTCTAGAAGTTTTGTTTCTTCAGATTTGCCTGGTCGTTTTTTAGTTTCTTAGTCCTTTAGCCCTCCATCCCACTTTTGAGCCTATTTTTTATTTATTTAAATTTATTAAACATATATTCATTATCTGAGAAGCCCAAGATCCCAGTTTTTGTGTATTTGAATCAGCATTTATTTGTTTCTTCAGATTCACACTCTTGGTAGCCTGTGATTTTAACGGGTTTTGGCTGTGAATATATGTCTTTGGATTTTTATCTTTGGTAATTCTTTGAGGACTCTGATTAAATTGCGTTATTGCAGAGTGTATTTACATTTGCTTTTCTAAAAAAATTTATTAATTCATTTCTTTTTGGCTGCATTGGGTCTTCGTTGCTGCGCGCAGGCTTTCTCTAGTTGCGGCGAGCGGGGGCTCCTCTTGCTTGAGGTGCACAGGCTTCTCATTTGCGGTGGCTTCTCTTGTTGTGGAGCGTGGGCTCTAGGCACGCAGGCGTCAGTAGTTGTGGCACGTGGGTTCAGTAGTTGTGGCTCACAGGCTCTAGAGCACGGGCTCAGTAGTTGTGGCATGCGGTCTTAGTTGCTCCACGGCATGTGGGATCTTCCTGGACCAGGGCTCGAACCCGTGTCCCTGCACTGGCAGGTGGATTCTTAACCACTGCGCCACCAGGGAAGCCCCTGCATTTGCTTTTGCCATACTTATGGGGCCAGCTTCATTACTATCCCATTATCACTTAAAACTGAATTTTTGTCTTGGGTTTTCCAAGCCCTAAACTCTTAAGGCCTTCTGCCTGGTTTTGGTCTAATCTACCCTGTTTGGGCCCTGGGCAGCTGCCCTTGAAAGTGCAAGCCTCAAGTCTCTTGGAGTTGGTGGTTTTTCTCAGGTGAATGCCCTCTCTCTTGTACTTTTGCCCATCTTGATTTGTACTGACTCCTACAGGTCCACAATTCCTTGTCTGCAGTCCAGAAATCCAGAAAGCTTTTCCTATCACAAGTTGTTTTTTAAATGAACAAAACTTGACCTGAAGGGATGTGAGCTTATTGCAGAGTCATGAATGCGATCGTCTCACATGCTGCCGGGGTATTAAAATGGTATATATAGGGACTTCCCTGAGACTCCAGTGGTTACAACTTCGGAAGCAGTATTGTAACAAATTCAATAAAGACTTTAAAATTTTTTTTAAATGGTATATATAAACACAGTGCGTTACCTCTGTAAAAACCTCAAATTCCGAATTCTAAAATATTAGTGGTCCCAAAGCTTTCATATAAGGAGACTGCTTGTACTCGTTTCTGTTTCTCACTATTTCCCACAATCTCTGATGTAGTTTTCAAAAGCATTTTGGGAGAATTCAGTATTAGGAAGTGTTTCTTTGAACATCTAGTGAGGCCTGTTTCTGGAAATGAAAGTCCAAAGTCTGTTTCTTTGATTGTAATACACTTTATTGTTTTTGGAAACTGTCTTTGTTTTGGTGTTAATTTATTTCAATAGCAGTGGAGTAATTAAAAGAGTACTAGTTTTTCATTTTTTGTTATTTAAAAATTTTGCATGCAGTGAATTTGACACCTTTTGATGTGTACTTGAGTTTTAACACATGCATAGATTCCTGTAACTGTCATCTGTTAACTTTAATAATATAATAGCCAGTCATTTTACCAGCAGAAGCACGTTTACTTGGAAATAGCCAGAAGAATTGCAGTTTGAGATACACGAATTGTGGTGGACCATAGGCAAATCCAGAGAAGGGGAGCTTGCTTTTTTTTTTATATGGAAAAGCTGGGGCGCTGGTAGTAACCTTAGACCATCAGAGGAGGCTGGGGGGTCCAAAGTGTGGAGCCTTCTCATTGGTTGGGCTGCTACAGTGTCTGCTTGGCTAGGCTGCCCTGGGGCAGAGAAAAGTTTTCTTCTTCCTGCTGGATGATAGAATAGACAACACCTTCCCGTTGAGACGTAGGTGCTGGTCTCTTTCTGTTTGGGGTAATGAGGATGCCTCGCGGGGCGTGAGAGCTCACCCTATAGGCCTGTCCCCACTCCACCTTTAGCTGAGGTTTCTTTAACTCCACACATCACAATCAAGATGAAGAACAGTTCTCTCGCCTTTGTAGTTAAACCCTCTATCCCAGCACTTGACAACCACTGATCTATTTGTCTTTTTTTTTTGCCTTTTCTGGAGTGCCATATAAGTGAATTTATATAGTATGTAGCCTTTGAGACTGGCTTCTTTCACTTAGCATAATGGCTTTGAAGTTTACCCATGTTGCTTCTGTCATTGCTTTCTATAGCTAAGTTCCGCTGTATGGATGTTCTATCCATCCACCTGTTGAACCACGTTTGGATTGTTTCCAGCTTTTGATTATGAATAAAGCTGCTTTAAACATTTGTGTACAGGTTTTTGTGTGGACAAAAGTTTTTATTTCTCTGGAGAAATACCTAGTAGTGGATTTATGTGTTAAATGTGTGTCTAATTATATAAGAAACTGCCAGGCTGTTTTGTAGAGTGGCTGCACCATTTTGCATTCCCAGCAGCAATATATGAGAGTTCTAGTTGCTTTATTTCCTTGCCAGCACTTGGTGTAATCAGCTTTTTGTTTATTTGCGGGGTTTTTTAGCCATTCTGATAGATGTGTGGTGGTATCTTGGTATCTCGTTGTGGTTTTACTTTGCATTTCCCTAATATCTGAGGATGTTGAATGTTTTTTCATGTGTATATTTGCCATCTGTATCTTTCCCAGTCTTTCCCAATATTTTATTGTTGAATTTTGAGGTTCTTTATATGTTCTGGTTATAAGACTTTTATTGGCTATGTGACTTGCAAATGTTTTCTCCCAGTTTATAGCTTGACTTTTCATTCTCTTAACAGTATCTTTCAGAGATCAAAAGGGCTTTTTTGATTAAGTCCAATTTATCAACTTTTTTCCTTTATGGATTGTGCTTTTGGAGTCATGCATAAGAGCTCTTTGCCTAATCAAAGGTCATGAAGATTTTCTCCTGTGAGATATAAGCTGTGGTGGTTAGGTCAAGTTTTTTTTTTTCTTTTTGCGGTACGCGGGCTTCTCACTGTTGTGGTCTCTCCCGTTGCAGAGCACAGGCTCCAGACATGCAGGCTCAGCGGCCATGGCTCACGGGCCCAGCCGCTCCGCGGCATGTGGGATCTTCCCAGGCCTGGGCACGACCCCGTGTCCCCTGCATCGGCAGGCGGACTCTCAACCACTGCGCCACCAGGGAAGCCCTTAGGTCAAGTTTTTTTTTTTTCTTTTCACATATGGATCATTCCATACATTATTAGTTAAAGACTACTCTTATGCCATTGAATTGCCTTTGTACTGTGGCCATATTTGTGTAGGTCTATTTCTGGACTCTCTCTTCTGTTCCATTGGTGTATATGTCTGTTCCTTTACCTGTACCACACTGTCTTGATTACTATCGCTTTGTAGTGAGTCTTAAGATTGGATAGTTTGAGTCCTCCAAGTTTGTTCTTTTTCAAAATTGTTTTTTTCTATTCTAAGTCCCCCCCCCCCCGCCCCCGATATAAATTTTGGAATAATCTTGTCGATATCTACAAGAAACCGTGCTGGGATTTTTATTGGAATTGCGTTCAGCCTATAGGTCAGTTTGGGGAGAATTTATGTCTTAACAGTATTGAGCCTTAAAATCCACAGATATGCTGTGTGTCTTCATTTACTTGGGTCTTTGATTTCTTTCCTCCACATTGTATAGTTTTCAGCATACAGATCCTTAATGTGTTTCGTTATTTGGTGCTATTGTGAATAGTATGTTTAAAAATTTTTTGTTTCTAGTTTTTTTCATTGCTAGTACATAGAAATATCAATATGGTTGACTTTTATATGTTGACCTTCTATTCTGTGGCCTTATTACTCACTTGTTATTTCTAGGAGCTTTTGTGTAGATGGCTTGAGTTTCTTGTCTTGTTCGTGATCTTAGAAAGTATTCAGTCTTTCACCATAAAGTGTGAGGTTAGCTGTGGGTTTTTGTAAATACCCTTTATCAGGTTGATGAAGTTCCCTTCTCTTAATAGTTTACTGAGAGTTGTTGCTGTTCGAATCATGAATGGTGTTGAATTTT